ATAGATAAAGTAAGAAATCATTCCAGTGTGTGCTATAGGGCAGTAAAAAAATCAAAAAACAGTTTAAAAGGGGAGTGATTAGTAAAATATGCATAAATAAAAACAAAGAATGCTAACTAGGTCACATAAGATAAGAATAAACAAGTTTAAATGATTTGTTATTGGTTGTGATCATATTCTAAAGATGTTTGGATTATTGAAAAGTATACAGCTCCCTTTCATCTGAGTGTTGAGAAGCTGTATCCATAAATTCATGTTGTGCTCAAAGTGCACCAGATTGATGCTTTTAACTTCAACATTTAAAAAAAAAACTTGTATAACAAAAAATCTTGTATAACTAAATGTCTTTTCCTTTCTGAAGTCATCAAAAGTTGCTAAACAAATTGCTTTTGAAGTAACGTCCCATTTTTGAATACAACTTTTACGAGACGTTACAAAGAAAGAGCGTGCATACAAAGCAAACACTTGAAAATGGAAGCTGGCTGCTGGTAAACCTGAAAACCGGAAAACTCAGAGCTCCCAGGTTTATGATATTATTTTATGGACTGTATAATTATCTTGAGACTAAAGTCTTCTGTATTTTTTTTCCTTACCACAGATCCCAAGAAGGGCGCAATCAATCACATTATTCACCAATAAGTCGTCTTTATAGTAGGTGAGTAAATCATACCCAATATGTTACAGTTCTGATGCTTACAATACTGTACTACACTGCATTTGCTGCTGAAGCAACTTGAAGCTTATCTTGTGCTTACCACTTGAGCAGCAGCAGAATAGTACAACACCTGATCTTCATCTTGATACATGTTGCTTAGTTCAGTTTGTCTTTTTGCTCAGGGAGGAGAGAACGGTTAACAATTTCCAGGACAAGGGTATCTCTAAGGGGCACAGACAGCCTCCACATGCCTGGGATGGCAAAGAGCAGCCGTTTGAGGCCCAGACCTGGCATCACAACTCAACACACTCATTCCACAACAGAGCTGGCAACACCACCGGTTATCTAACAGGACCAGGAGAGCGCTACCCAAACTGGGACAACAATGCCAGCAACACGATGGTGAGGCCTGCAGACCCTGAACTATCTTACAAAGCAGTTCATATTGTTATTAGAACAAGAAGTTTGACTTGATTATTTCCCTTTTCGACTGTTAGTATGGAGGGCCTCGCCTGCATCGCAACAATAGAGAACTCCAGTCCCCACCGGAGAGATGGGCCCCCTCAGACTGCCGCAGGAGCTTTCCTGACAGAATGATGAACAACAAGCCAGAACCCTGGAAACGGCCAGTCCTCCACCAGAGGCGAGACCAACTGCACCAGCACAGCCCACCTCCACAGCACCCATTATCCCCCAGGGAAGAGTGTCCGGCCAAGAGGAGAAGGGACTCTGGCCCTGATCAGGTAAAGTTTGTTGGCTTAGCACACCACATGGACTGTTTATCTGTACACAGGCTTTCATTTCTGTGCAATAGCACCACCCATTGGCACAATTTGGTCAAGGAGACTGAATATGTATGCTTCCCTGTCTAGTCATCTCATCCTGCATCAAGGCATGTACCTTTAATTGGTCATGCCCCTTCGCCACCTCGCCACCACCGCTGCAACCAGGACGACTGGAAGCCTCTTCATGACAGGACGGGTCATTGCCATCACTCTGACCACAGGACCTCAACCCAGCAACAGGTGAGCTTGTGTAATAAATAAAGTACTATAAAAAAACTAGGATGGCACTCGGAAAGCACAGCCCAAGGCCAATGGTGCGTTCATATGTTATTTGGATGGACGGAACATTAACCCTGACCCATATCATGAGTTGGGAACTAGTTTTTCCTACTTGAATCCATAAGCTACATGTCTTTAGAGAGTTTACAAAATGTTAATAGCTGTTTCTGAGTTGTTGTTGTTGTTGTTGTTGTTGTTGTTGTTGTTTGGGCTAAAGTACCCAGTCAGAAATTCATTTACATTATTTCACCACCACATGAATGTGTGCCCTGACTTTCAATATAGATAAAAAATAGCAATTGATTAGAAGCTGCTCCAAAATGTACTTCATTAGCCTATGCTGCACCATTCCATCAAGTTTCATGAGAAATCCCTATTGATAGACAGACAAACAGAGCCCAAAATATAACCTCCTTTCCAAAAGAAATCAAACTGAACTTATTTATTTCTAATTTTGGTTAGGGCTGCAACAAGCGACTAATTTGATAATCGATTAATCTATCGATTAATGAAACGATTAATCGATTATTCGGATCGTTAAGCGATTATCAAATTAGTCGCTTGTTGCAGCCCTAACCAAAATTAGAAATAANTTTTTCACCTTTGTTCAGTTAACACGAGCCCAGCGCCTATAAAGTCAAGGCCCAACGGCCCAATGTTGGGCCGAATGCCTGGTTATTTTCGCCTGCCTGTGTGTCCATTGTCGTCATATAGTGAGTTGCCGCTGAAGCCCCCTCTGCCTTCCCAGCCCGTTCGCCACGCCGAGCGCAAGCTCCCAACCCGAACCAGCGCGTTATATTTCAAGATTGCCGCTCCCTGCCTTTCTCTACAGTCTTTCCCTTGGGACATCGACCATCTCAAAGGTTCGCCAAAATGCCTGTTTTGCCATGGGCCTGGATGCTTTGTCGGGAGCCAGTACCTGTAAGCGGGCGGTTGTTGCTTCGCTGCTGTTCGACTTATTTTTTCCACGGTGTATCCTGCGCTCTTTAGTTGCTTCCAGGGTGCCAGGGTTGCTGAGTTGGCTGAATGTGCGATAATGGCTAGGCCAGTGGTAAAGTAGGCATGTGGTAAAATAGGGCGTAACATGTTATGTTTCATGTATAAGCTCTGTTATTGGGTTGGATGTTTGACACTTCTTTTATGGTTTGGGGCGCTGTGACAGACCCTGTGGTTGTTCCATCAGGCCTGTGCCCCTGTTGTAAGCCTGCTGTGCTTTCTTGCCTAATCGAGCAGTGATGGGAGCACTCACCTGTGGCCCTTGAGTTCCAGGATATAAGAGGGCTGCAGACAGCGCTCTCGCTCCTCTCTCAGCTGCCCTGCTCGGTGCCAGCAGACGACACCCGCTCTTTCTGTTTTGTTTTATTGTTGGTTGTAGACACTGTTAGTTAAACATAAATTATTGTTTTGGGCACACTCCTTTTGTGGAAACTGTTGTCCTTATGTTCAAGCAGAGCCAGCTTGTAACAGTATGCCAATACTTTTAAACAGTATGAGACAACACATTCAATAAAAGTTATACCAATGATAAAACAATGAGATTTCTTAAACAAGAGTTTGGACCACAGTTAGTATAGTATCCACTTCTTTAATACATAGCATAAATGAGTTGGCAAAGCCTAACACAAGCACAAACTGGAAAACATACCTTTTAATCATTGCTTGCGCACCATTTCAGCCCAATAGCCCCTGAATAAGTAATGCTAGTAATATCAAGTGAAAAGTTGACCTGACTATAGAAACTGGCTGTCAGGCGTTGCTGGCCCTGCTATAGGCAACAGAACAGCGCAATTCCAATCTGCCTGATTGGCAGAATAGGAAGATATATCTATTTCACTCAAACAGAAACCTAAGGCTCATGTGAAAAGATGCCCAACAGTGCATTGCTGATAACATTTAGTTCAGCCTTCTTAAAGTATATGATCGTTGTATTAGATATAATTGACTTTTTTCACACAACATACATTAATAACGGCTACTCTTTCTGGCTTCAGTTGAGAGGCATTTAATTCTTCATAAAATAATTCCCTGGGCCTTTAAAGAGCCGCATCTTTGCAGGTTTTTAAATTTTTTCTTACATTTATGCTTAAACTTGCTTGAAAATTACAATAATAAAAAAAGTGAATGCAGGATTTGATATGTTTTACGAGACACTAAGGGCAGGGAATTCAGAGGGAAAGGATCATTTTGAGCTCTCGCTCTTAAAAACGCCGCTTTTTTTTTTAAGGTCACACGTCAAACGCGTCCATATTACATCACACAGGGACACATCTCCGCCTCTCTGACCGCGGCTGTATGAGTAGAGTTGCGTTGAGTAGCAGCTAAGCGCGGTTGGTGTTTAAGGCGAGCTGGTATTTTTTCGGTAGTTTTTACATTGTTATTTCACCATTTGGTAATCCATGGTCAGTATTGTGTTGGTGCAGGTGCACAAATACCAGCCTTGTCAGGACATCAAGTCCACCAGTAAAAAGCGACGGAGCTCTAGCGTTCGGTTCCTGGAGTGCCGTTGTGCATCCACCTCCCTGCCAGCACAATACTCTCACAACAACAGCTTTATCAGGAAAACCGTATTACTTCTCTCTCCTGCTTCCGTCGCAACGTGCTCTCTCTCTCTCCCCTCCGGTACCTGCTTTACAATTACAGCCATTTACACGACATATCAACGGAGTCCTCCACACCTTTCTCCCCCAGATCGTCAATCATCAGCCGTATCTCGCGTCTCTCCTCCGGTACACAGCACCGTAAGACGTAGTGTGGAGTTGCATTAGGTAACGCGAGATACGGCTGATACTTGCGCATTAGTTTCTGTTATGGATCAGTATCAACAGTCCTGCCAGTAACGTTACTATATTATCAATGCTACTTTAGTTATAGCCTGATATATGATAGCTAACTTCACAATGTTGTGATGTGACGTTAGCTAACATTCTGTAGCTAACGCCGGTCACTCACCAAGTTCACTCGCCCAGTTCTCCACCGGTTCTCCTCACACCACAGCTCAATTTCTCTCCGATGGCCGTTATTTCTTCTAATCCTTGGCTGCTCCTGGTCTCTTGGACGCCTAGCAGGCTCATAATTATAAGGTTGTGGTCCGTCATATGCATTCGAATATTCATGTTCAACTTCTTCTGTGTCTTCTGTGTCGAAACTAGCATTGGGATCCATGTTTATTAATACGTTACACCGGCCGCTCTCCCCCTTGTGTCCCCCGTGTTACGTCACACGCGGGAGGTCACGTGCCGAGGCTTTTTTATGCGGAAGTGAACATTTCTTACAAAAACGACGCCAGATGTCACTGTAGTGTATATTTCTGTATATTTTTTTGAAAATCTAGTGTATTCATCATTTTCCTACACATTTATTCACAGGTGTCTTTAACCTGGAAGTTGCTCTTTAATGCGGTATCAGCCGGGCACGTGACTCTTCTTTGATAAAACAGTAATATTATCTGAAACACATCCTAATGGATATTACTTTGTAAGATACAAAAGGGATTATTTGACCCAGTGAAACATCTCGTGACATTTGTTTTACCTTGTCCCTAATAGGCAGAGAAAGTTGTCTTTCATCAAGAAAACTTATAGAAACGTAACAAGTTATGAATGTCCATATTCAGTTATGGGGCACAGATGGGCATAGAGTATAGGAAATAGATGGTCTGATTAACTGCATTGAATAACGTAAAATATATATGGCAATATGTGTTTAGTGGAAAAAAACATAAAGTACATAAAGGTACATTTAGATATCAAACTATGTTGAATGGATTAAAATAAAGATACTTTGCTAATATTAACGATTAATCAGTCATAATACCTTTCGCATGTATAAAATGAAATTGCCTTGTTGATAATTAAGAAAAATGAAAATTGGAATACACCAGCGGGTGATGAGGTTCACCTTTTCTCATGGGGAAAAAAGACACATACACACTGGACATGAAATGCAAATCATATTATATTATATTATATTATTATCATATTATAAAACCATTATTCCCCACTCCTACCAGTGGGGAATTGTTTGAGAAACATGTTTTTAGAGTGACAGTCAAACCTCCGTGGGAACAGCTAGACGTGTCCAGTTGGAAGTGAAGCTATTATGTTTGCATCCTTTTGTTAAAAATGGGGATACATTGTCCCGTCAGGCTGATGTCCATGCAGGTAAGTGTCAGTTAACTGAGAATTGGTATTGACACAGATGGTCAATTTATTTTGAAACAGGAGCAGTACAAGACCATTTCTGGTTAATGTGAAACATTAATGGTAAATGGTAAATTAATGGTGCGCAGTTTGGGACTTAATTGTTTAAAAGGAACAAACTGGTAAATGCGCAGCTGCTCTGAAATGCAGTATAATGTTGTTGTGGTTTTACTCAATCTATGCTTATACCTATTCCGCTACGGCTAATCACTGAGAAAACCTTAGGATGTGTTCATGAACCCTACTGAGTTTAAGTCAACCATGCCTACACAATCACTGTAGTCATCCAGGTAAAATGTAAGATGCATGACATAAAACATAGATTTGGCTTTAGATCCTGTTTATCTGTACGTGTAATACAGTATAATACTGGATTGTTTGAAATAACACGAGACGTGACTTGACACCACTTGTATATACATACTATTATACCTAAGCCTGAACAAAACTTAACTTATCACATGTAGCCTGAACCTAAAGTCTAGCAAATAAATACCCAATAATTGGCCAAAGTGATGACTGTTAAGCTCTTTCTGAGCTTGACGCATATCCAATATTAGTCTGCAAGCATATGCTTTTGCTCATTGTAGGTACATAACTGTAGGCCAGTTGCCAAACATATGACTCATATAGCACAAGCATAGGCCTAATTACCCTTCAATGCACCAAGCTGCAGTTGTCTTTGGCTGTAAACAGTGCAATCACGGAGGCAGCAATGTGGAACACATCACTGACAGACTCCCAGGTGAGTTTGGGTCTGTCTGTGATGGACACAAATGAATAAGGGTAGGCAGAAAATGGATTTGAGCAGAGGGGGTGGGACATGCAAATTTGAACCCCTCTATATCTTTGAAAATTGCTTTAAAATCAATCCCACCTCGGGAACAGTCGAGCAATTTTGGACTGTTTGTTTTTGGTTTCGCTCTCCCTTTATATGAAAAGATCCATATCAATTTTCTCTCTGATGGTCCAGTGCAGAGATAGATTTGGGATCTGGGCCTACATAGACACATTGTCACAGAGGTACAAGGAGTGGACCCAAAAGCACAAAGGCAGACACAGGATTCAAGTACAAAAAGAGTCTTTACTTGAAATGCATTTTCAGTACAAACATATGAAGAATACCAAAATCACAGGATCAGCAGATCCAGAAAAATACATACAATAAATAATCTACACTAGTGCTTGCCTAACAAAATACTAGAAAAATATTACTACCTGATCTTACAGTACCTTACTATAACTATAGATGCGGACAATGACTGTAACGATAAATGCAATTAGAAAACGCTGGAGAGCTCGACATAAGACATAAGACCATGTGGCAAAAGACAAGGGGAGTCAGGACAATATATACAAGAGGTAAGTGGGAACAGGTGGAAACAATCAGGGGCAGGGCCGACACTGACGATGGCGGGAAAAAAACCAAGGCAGGAAGTAAAGGGACCTGGAACGAGACAAGGTGAATACAAAAGAAAACAGGAAGTGGAATATAAATAACTAAACTAACATAAAATAGTTAACACAGTTGCAGACGCACAACACACATTTGCAGAGAGAAACTGAAGAAAGGTTGTTAAAACTCCACATGCTAATCCAAAGCATCAGACATATTATTATATATTTCATTACATTTGACTTGTTAGTCACTTTTATCCAAAGCGACTTACATACTCAATACTGTGGGCAATCCCCACACGAGCAATTTGGGGTGAAGTGTCTTGCCCAGGGACACAACAACATGCTGACTGCAGTGGGGTTTGAACCTGTGACCCCCTGATCCCAACACCAAGGCTCTATCCACTGCGCAACACGCCTCCCGCCTCATATCTGTGTCTCCTTCACTTGTGTTGCTTTTATGAAGTGGTGGAATAATTACACTCACTTCTAGTCAACTATTCACAAATATATTAAGTTACCATGCTGACTAACTTATGTCAAACGGATTCATCAGCAATACAGGTGCAAGAGATAAAGATTATCTTTATATCTACTATCATTTAAGGCTAAAGATGACTTTGCATGTAGGAAAAAAACACCACTTCATCCAGCAATTGGGACTGACAATTAAATACGTATAAATGTTACATCACACAAAGCCTAACCAATGTTTAGCTTGAAGTCCACACTCTTTATTGAGCAGAGTTGTTTAGATGTCATCTCTGGTCTGAGCCCGCCAATGTACATTTTTTTGACTAATCTGCATTTGAGGGTTCAATTTATGAAAGGGTCAGTTCCAACACTAATTTCAGTCCATTCACCCACCACATATCAAAGATATACTATTATACATAGACGTAAGGCGTCTAGCTTTAGTTTTTGTGTTGTCATTTGTGCTTTTCAGTATGAGCAAATAAAACAAAAAAAAAGATCTACTATGTTTTCTTAGTGTTAATAAGCTGGTATGCCATACTGTTACATCAGGGGTGCCCATTACGTCAATCGTGATCGACCGGTCGATCGCGAAGGCATTGTTTGTGGGTAGATCGCGAGGCATTAAAAAAAAAAAAAAAAGTTTCCTTACTATGGCATTTAAGTGTGTGTGTGTGTATGTGTGTGTGTTTGTGTGTATTGTGTTTGTTTCCCGGGGAAAACACTCACGAGAAACGCCGGCTGTTGTTATGTCTGCTGTGACGTTAAGTTACTCCGTTCTCCGCTTGTAATGATGCCGTTACAAGCTTCAAAGTTGTATTTATCATCTGAATTTGCCGAAACAAGTTTAATATTCTGAAAGCCAAGACTTAGTTTATTTGAAGTCAGATGAAAACAAACTGTAACGGACCTTGCCGTGTTATCTATGATTACTACGCCTTGCATTCATAATTTCAGCCGGAGGGAGGGGGAGCTGCGCTGTGGAAGAGCAGAGCGTGAGTGAGAGCTGTCATCTTCCCTTTGTAAGCTTCAAAAATGTATTTATCGTGTGATTTTGGAAATAAAAGTTTCATATTCTGAAAGCCAAGACTTTGTTTATTTAAAATCAAACAAAACACCCGAACCCCTGAAAACTATTTTTTTACGCAAATTCACGTTTATTTAGAAGTGAGCCGTTGCGACTTCCGACTGATTTCTATAGAGCGGGTCACATATGATCTTTTTCATCGTATTGTATTTCATGTATTTATTTAGATTGTTTTCTATCTCATTTGGTGTGCCCCTTATTGCCACCATGTTATCCTAAAATACATTTGTGTGAAACTGTCTCATAATTAGCATATGACTTCTTGATTTATGTCACAATTGAAATCATAATGTTTGCAACAGTACATACTTTGTAAGAACGGCTGCAGTACATAATAAAAGATACAAAAAAAAGTTTTTTTTGCTAAATTTGAAGTAAATTCCTGAGATATTGTATGTGTGAGAATAGAACAGATGAAGGGCAGACAACTAGATAATATGTACGTACCATGGGACAGCCTTGGGCAGAGGATTCTTTTTTAACATATAATAAATAATATTTACAAATAAAACAATAAAAAAGAGAAACCTTACTTGACCATCTTGAAGGTATCCCGGTCAGAAATCTTGATAGTGCGAGCCACATTCCAGGACACGTGGATCATGGGAACGATGGACTTCACTTTCTTCACCTCGTTCCACTCGTAGCGCTCCAGGGCCAGCTGGTATTGGTAGGCTGGGTAGAGAAAACAGGGGTGAGCGTATTAAACAGTATATTTAGGTTGTAATCTGACATTAAGAACAACACCTGTCAACTTTTATGCTTCTGTTTTTCCATAGTGTTTTGGGTTCTCATGGTAACGTACAGTTGAGTGGTCCGACATTCCAGGCGATGTTGTTGCACCAGCCCACTGCCTGGACCCAGTGCACTGTCCCTGCATTAATCCACACCAGGTCCCCCGGCCTCTGGATGAAGCGGTACACAGGGATGTTGGCGCTGTAGAGGTCTTCCAGGACCGGCCACCAGGACCCTGTCAGGTAGTCTACTTTATGCCTGAGGGGGAAAAAAACAATGCATACTTAGACTTCACAATACAGAAAGAAATAGTACAATAAGACTCTGTTCCTTTGCACAAAATGCATATTCAATCAAAGGCTCAACTCTCTGGAAATCCCTACCTGAATACACAGCAGATGTTTATGTACTCTCTATGCCCATCAAAGAACTGATGTTGAAATGAGCTTTAACTATGTACAGCTGTACAGTGCATTGGACAACTCTTCTGCAACTCTCATTGTTTTTATCTGTACTTGTCCCTTACAATTCAACATAAAAATGAAATATATGTTTATGCAGGCACAGACACTGTAGCTAATGCTACATGTGTTGTTAAACAGCCTCTCCACTTACTTCTCACAGAATTTGTTGATAGCGTCCCAGTAGTGCTCATGGACGGCGAACCACTCACAGTCACCAGGACCGATGTTGATGTTGACTGAGCAGAAGTTGTTGTTCTCTTGATGACCTGAGAAGAAGCAGAAAACAGTCACTTAATTCACTTAAAAACTTCGTTCTGTGACGCCCGTTTTTATAATGCATTATAAAAATACTTATGGCACGGTATCTTCATAGTTATAGGCACATATTAGTTAGAATTGCAATGCTTTATAACACAATAATAAGACCTTTAAAAGCATTTTATATTGCCTTTTAGGTCATATTCATTCACAATTGCTGGTCAATCTAATATTCCAGATTTATTCCTATTTTTTTCAGTTTACTTTCAGCAAACAATGACCACTTTTAGTGAGTTAAAGTAAGCTGTATGTATTATATCTGCCAATATCTCAACATAGTTATAGGATAATGAATATAAAAAATATAAATAATAACTAAGTGAATGTTATTCCTTCATTCGTAAATACAGCGGTTTACTTGTCAGTCACACACACTGACCTGGAGTGCGGCTGCCTGGCACCTTCATGTAGAGCTGGACGGTGTTCATGCCCAGGATGGTGCTGCCGACGTGACTGAGCATGTTGTTGCTGGATTCCACCCGCATGAAAGCAGGCAGCTTCAGCAGCTCCTGCAGCTGGGGTTTCCACCTATAAAAAACATGAAAACTACTGTCAACGACAAGCTGCCTCATCGAGTTCAGTTTAAGCAGGCACATTTTTATAACACTATCTCACCTTTTAGGGTCAGAGAGATCAATATTGGTCCCAAATTTAATTATCTTTCCGGCTGATTTCTGCTCAGAGCTGGGGGAAAAACAAAGTCGTGGTTGAGTTTCGTTAACAGTAATATATTGAATTATTTGCACAGGCAGAAGGGAGTTTTGCTCCAACCTGGGTGTGCTGTTGGCATGTTCCTCTGGGCTGGAGGTGGAAGCAGAATTGGCTTTAGTTGTAGTGGAGGCAGGACTGACTTTAACCGTGGCAAATGTCAGAGCTGCTTTTGTGGCGGCGGATGTTTCTGAAGACTCGGACTGCTCTCCGTCATCTTCATTCTCGCTCTCATTCTCATCCTGTAACACATCTACATGAGCTTAGCTGAGATGTCGGCCAACAGCTAAAATAGATGATCATTTACTAGCTTAGTCATTAACAAAGGTTATGGGTACTTCCTTTACTTTCTATGTCCTTTGCTTAACATCAGCAGGATTATGGAAAGAACGTTTTAATAATGAAAAGATACACAGGTGATTAAAACATCCCCACTATGCCTTTAAGAACAAATATATTGCTGAAAGTCAATTAATAATGCATGTTATAATATCTATATTCACTACACATTGCACATTAATCTCCATGTATGTGTGGACATGTGTTGCCATGAGGGGAAATGTCTACCTGTAGGCTTTCCTGGAAGCTGGAGGCCTGGTATTGGGCGTATTTGGCGATGGTGGTGTGTGAGCGGCTGCTTTCACAGGGCCACGTCTGCGCCGATCCATTGTGATCCCAGTTCTCATCGGCAGGCTGCTGAACCTGGGTCCTTACCTCCACTGCATGCTCCGCATTGGCCTCCACCAGGGATTTGGTGGAGAACAGACCCAGGTCTTGCATAAGGAAAAGGAGAAAGACATCATTATCATGGGATGTTTAAACACAAATTATTATTTTTTTATCCCATTTATGTTCATTTACATATTTTCAGACTCTCAGCTTAACATATTTTACACAACATAGTCTGACTTTAGAGAAAAAGTGTGTTGAATAAGAAACAAGATATGTCTATCTACACTTGATGGTTGTAAAACACACACATTGAAATATGCAAAAACATTCAAAATAAAATTCCTATATCAATATCACATAAAAGCCTAGCAGTGCCAAAAGATGAAGGGATACTGGGAGGAAGTGTGGGGAGTATTGAAGGGGATATTAGGTTATGAGGTTCCTAAGACCGGCCTGATGTTATACTTGGGGAATCTGGTGCAGGAAAACACACAGGATGGGGACAGATACCTGATTAAGGTGCTGCTGGCTGCCAGCAAGAAAACAACTACCAGAGCATGGTACAAAGCAGATCCACCTACAAAGGAGCAATGGCTGGAAGTAGTACAGGAAATATTTGATATGGAGAGATTCACACACATATTGAGGGTCCAGGAAGAGAAATTTGAGTCCAAATGGGAACAATGGGTTGAATATAAAATAAAAATGAACGACACCACACATTGAGAGTTGGAACCAGACCATGATGTTGCATTAAAATAGGATAGAAAGCTTCCATGTCACTGTTTGCTTGTTTTTATTATTATTTTCTTTTTTTTCTTCAACGGGTCTCTAATTCAATTGTATACTGTTTTGTGTGTTTATAAAATTGTCAATAAAAATGTAAGTGAAAAAAAAAGAAGAAGAAGCCTAGCAGTGAGCAAACCGTCATGGTTGAGCGTTCACGGTCCATTCAAATATGGATCATAAAGACTTCAGTGCTGTATTTGCACATTGTTTTACCACTACTGTGAAAGATGCAGCGTCCTTACAGTGTGGAGAAAGGGCTGGCTCAGAAAGCCTTTTATAGAAATGACTCAAAGTGTAATGTTTAAAATGTCTACTACATCTGAAATAAACCATGGTTCATAAAAGGTTCATTTATATCTAAATAATCAATGTCTCTTTCTCCTGTTCTACTATGGATAATATAAACATTTGAAAAGTGTTGTTTGAAAATAGCACTATCACTTTCCACCTAGGTACTGCATGTTATAAGTGATGTTGAATTCAAATGCAATAATACAAATATGTGTTTCTTTTCACATACTTGCCTGTCTAATCAAGGACAATATACAAATACAAGCGAAAACATCATTTGACATTTCATTTAATCATTATGTGTCATTACTTTCTGAGCAAAAAGTACTCCCAATCAGTCTGTTTTAGTTTGGCTTCACTACTTAACACATTTGTGTAATGCCATTGTAAGATAAATGTTTGTAGTGTTTCCACAGATATACCCGACTTTAGCTGAGACATTTTATTTAATGCAAATCAATGTCAATTGAGTTTAATTCATCTAGCTAACCTTGCTAAGCCAGCTAGCATGCTATTGCTTATAACCACACGTGCAGGCGCTGTAAAAACGTTTTGGGTAAAACTGGATGTGGCATACCAAACCATGAATACGGAACAAGACACACATACTGTAAGATCCCTAATACACATGTAGAAAACAATATTGCTATAGTTGAATTACATTTCCCTTTCCCTTTTATACAAAACAATGAACATAGATTTGTTTTAATGTGTTAGAAATCTCCCAAAACTAGTTTATGGGGGATGCTGCTGAGCTTCAAGAATAACTAGAGTATGATAAAGTAGCTGAGAGGAGTGTGGTGTATAAACTTACTAAGGCGGAGGGAGCCAGCAAGTCCTCTGATGACAGTTACTGCATTTTTGGGATCAGTGCAGAACTGAAGCAGAACTGGAGAGAAGGCGTCCCTCTTGCTCTCCAACTGTGGAAAAAACGTACAATTAAAAACAAGCATTTGAACGCAGTGAAGCAATACATTAATTTGTCTTAGAAGGAATTGAAAGATACTGACAGTACGTTGGTAAGTTGTAGAATTCCTGAAACAAGGTATGATAAGGCAGCTCTCTCTGCTGCTATCGAGAAAACAATTCAAGACAGTTCAATTGATTTCAAGTAACTCAAGTTTACGGTGTTACGAGTTACGGATTTACTGCAGCCATGCTGGGGCTTTTGAGGCTGTATTTAGGCCGGGCTGTGAGCCAAATGCTAGCTACAGCATGCTAACGTGCTCATAAAGACATTGCTAGCATTCTGATCGCTATGTTCAGTATGCTAACATTTGCTATTTAGCACTAAGTTAAGTGGCGGCTGATAGGAATATTTTCGGGAGTATTTTGTCAAAGTGTCGAGCTGATTAAAATGTTAACGGTAGATGATAAATTAATGGATTTGTCACAAGGGGAACTGTTCAACATTTTTAGCCAAACAGTCGATAGATTTGGAGATATTTCAGTTTCGCAAGACAGACAGGACAATGGACAGGCTGAGATTTCCATCTGTAAAACCATGCCTCTAGCATGGTGAAAAACATGTTGTTAGGACTCAATACTTGATGATATTACTTGTCGGGCTGCATCTTTTTGACTAAGCTAAACTCACATAAATACTTGGTGTAGGAGGGTTGAGCTTTTCTTGAGGGATTTTGGTCTCGGTGTCAATGTTAGGTTTAACATTGAAGGCGGGAAGCAGAAAGGACTCCTTGAATTTCCCCTTAACCTTCTTCCCCCTGGAAAACAAAATGACAAAACATATCAGGAGTTTATAAGACAACCTGTTTCTATTGATAAAGGTGAATAGAAGCATCTTTGAATTAGCACTCACTTGCAAGCTCTTACTACTTCAGCACCAGTGTTTTCGATGCTAATCTTGGAAAAAGGGATTCTTGGTTCAAACTCTGAGACGTCGAATGTTTTCCTTCCTGCATCTACTTTTGTTAAGAGGATCTTCAACTCCTTTGAGAAGCCCATAGACAATGCTTTCAGTCTCAGCGGGTCACATGGAGTTGTAGAGATTGAAGGCGTGCTTCCTGGTGTAGATACACTTGATTTGGATGTCTTGGTGTTTGTGTTTCCAGCTGCTGAGGATTTCTTATTTTCAAACTCTTCCTTCTTCGCCATTATTATCTGTGCCTCTTCCTTCCCCTTGTCTACCTTGTCTTTATTAATGCCGTGTGTGGTTTGATTTTCCTGAGAAATCTGGCCCTTCATACTCTCTTTGAGGAGTTTGGCTGACTTTCTGGAAATGACGAGCACCGAGGAGGAAACATCCCTTTTCGTCAAATCCCTTATGTCGTTTGCTTTGTTTTTAGGACACATGATGCTGCTTTCCTCTGTCTTTATCTTGATTTGTATCTCTCCTTCTCTTTCTCCATCCATGGCCTTATGTTTTCTCTTTCTGTTCCCACCAATGCGCTCCGTCTCTTTGCTGTGTCCCCTCTCATCCTTGGTGGAGACAGTAATGCAGCTGGTGATGGAGGCTGTATGCGTTGTGGTCAGACTCAGCTCTGCACTCAGCGACCCGTCCAAAAGAGAAGTCTCTGTTTCTTTGGCGAGGATCTCCATTTCTTCACTATCTTGCTTCTCTTCCATGTCGGTTTCAATTTCTTTCTGCTTACCCTGAGCCAGGGATTCTGCGACAGGCTCCCTCGGACTGTGGCATTTCAAAAGCATGTCTGAGGGGAAGAGAGTTGGTGACTGATTACCAGGTTTGGAGGATGCTGTGTCTGATATACAGAAGTCCTGATGCTCATGAATATCCGGCCCCAGTTCAAGAGAAGAGGAGTATTTCACTCCTTTGGTGGTGCAGGCGGGAGGCCCCCCAAATGGGCCGCCTCGACACGTGACCCTCTGGCCTCCGAGTAAAGTTGCAAGGCTCTTGAAGACATCGTCCAGACCAGTTTTATGGTGGCAAAGCTCACCGTAAGGAGAGTCGGGAGTTTCCCCACTGCTGTCTTCCTTTTCTTCCTCAGCAACTGGTACCTCTGCACAGGGTGGATCGCAGAGTCCAGGCACGCCATCCTGGGAATAATCAGCCTGTTGGTCTTCGCAAGGCTTCTCTTTGATATCGGTGGAGCTCTCACTGTCTTCAGAAAGAGGAGAGAAGCACCGGGTGGGACTGGGCTGGAGGACAGGTCTACTCATCACTCCCTTCTCAAGCTCCTCCTCGTCTTCTCCCAGAATCGACACTGGTGAGCCCTGCCAGCTGAGAACAGGAGGTGTATTTGCAAGGTTGTCTTCTGTTTCCCTTAGATTTCCCACAGGCTGTAGGTCTGGAGCATTGAGAGCCCCTCCCTGGCCACCATGGACAGGTACCCCCAAGGTGACAGAACAGGCTGAAGTGAGAGGCGCTAAGGCTTTACATAAAAGTGAAGGGAGCGTGTCCTTGGTCTTTGCTTTAGGGCTGCGCTTTGAAACGATGGTGGGCTTCTTGCCGGACAGTTTGGGGTTCATGGGAATCCTATGAAGGGACTTTTTAAGTTTATCCTTGAGTTTTGGGGCACTATTGTTTTTCTTGGGCATTTTAATATGAGCAGATTTTGAGGATGGCTGTGGTGAAGAGGCAGGAGGATTCTTTTTGGATGGTTTGAGTGTCCTCTCTGCACGACCACTCCTCTCTCTGTGCTTGTGTCTGCCTGGTGCCTGGCTTTGATTGTCCAGGGGCTGAGTTGTAGTCTCCATTTGGGCTTCTCCTGAAGAGTGGGGAGTAGAGATGGAAGTCAACATTTCCTTTTCCATACCTCCAGTTTTGAACTTTCTTTCCCTCTTTGATATTTTATCCCTCCTCCTTTTTTTCTCAGACAATCTTTTTTCCTCTTTTTTCTTATGCCTCTTTCTCTCTTCACCCTTTCTATCCTTTTTTACCGGCTTCTCCGTTTTTTTGTGTTCTTCAGACTCTTTCTCAGTCTTGTTTGCTCTTGACCTGCTGTGAGAGGACTGTCGTGAACAGAGGGGCTGCGAAGTCTTTCGATATTTGACGTCTGACAACCGGGCTTTTGGACCATCTTGAGAGTTGTGGGACGTGGAGGATGTCTGGCTAGGTCTCGGGGTGTGATTGGGGCTTCCTTGGAGTTTCTGCTGTCCACTGAGTTCAGGGCTACACTGATAAAGGAGTGATGGATCTTTTCTGCTACTGCCCACTGTGTATGAAGAGGGACTTGGAGGAGCACGTGGACTGCTGGCAGTAGAACCTCCATCTCCAGGGCTGCAGATGAGGGACAAATAGGAAGGAGAGTCTGCACCAGAACCCTTGAATTGGGCTGGATCCCATGAATTGCCCCTTTGATGAAAGCGCTGAGGTTCCTGTAGGGTTAGGATTACATCTGTTACACATGTGTTCGGGGACAAGACAATCAAATACATAGAATCGTATATGCACTGTTATACTTACATTAAAAAAAACATTTATTGCAATTTAGGGCAAATGGCAGCCTTTAAAGAAAGATGATGTGTATTTTGTCAAATGTACTATCTTCAACTATTTGTATATTGAGCGAATATCTATTTGGATGTAGACATTTGTGCGTTCATGTGATTTAAATGTTGATTACTTACTGTGCTTTGTTTGTGGTGATGTCTCTGTGAGTCTTTTTCCTCAGGAGGGTGTAGCTGCGGGTTGTGCTGTAGGGCCCTGGGGTGGCTTGTGTGCCGTTGTTGATAGTGGTAATGATGGTTTTGATGGCTGTAAGGCACGCGGGGGTGGTCTGCTGGTGACTGGGACATTTTCCGGTCGACCTTCCCCCTGCTTCCATGATGAGGTGTTCTGTTGCCGCCACAACTCTGGGTCAGAGCTACCTGGTGACTGTTACTGAAGCCATGCCCTCCGACTCGTGCTTTAGAGGTTTCCTGCACATTTAAGAACCAAAATTAGGGGTGCAACAACTAATCGACTTAATCGATTAAAATCGATTACCAAATTAGTTGGCAACTAATTCAGTCGTCGATTCGTTGGTGACGTCATCACATGTGTTCTACACCCCGTTAAGCTCCAATGTTATCGCTCTTTTTTATCGGTACAGGAGACATTTAAAAACATATGTTATGTATTATTGCTACATAAACATTATATCGCAGTCTTAGTGTCGCCAACTCCGTTTCTAATATGCAATATGACTACAAAATGCGTCTATAATGTATTTTCGATCTTCCCAATTCAGACGAGAGATCTCTCCCCCGCCTGCTTGCGAGGGGGTGGGGCAGTTTACACACACACGCAGCTGCTACATGCAAAACACACACACACACACACACACACACACAGAGGAGATGGCGGAGAGAACGCGCTCCGAGGTGTGGTTAAACTTTACCCGTCTCGATGTGGACAGTGCTCGTTACCATAAGTGCAATAACAGTTTATCATGTAAGGGCGGTAACACGAGCAATTTCTATAAACATTTAGCAAAAGTGCACCACATTCAGACGGAGAAATGCACCGGGTTCGACTGTCTTTCTAGTAGCTCTGTAGCCCCATCCACGAGTAACGTTTCCACGTCAGGTGTTATGTATGCTAGCAGCAACACACGGAGTTAACTCAGTTATAAAAACATAGGTTAATGATTAGAGGTAACTGAGTTATTTATTTTGTTAAAGTTTCAGCTATTCTGTTTACAGTTCTGTCATCACATTATTTAATATGATTTGTTAAAACATTGTTGTTTCTTTTGATGTGAAATATTATGCATTTAATTCAAATAAAAAGCAATGTTAGTTTTGTTCACAATTTGTTTAGTTAGTTTACCTTATTTCTTGTCAAAAGAACCGTTAATACTATCGTTAAAAGGACCGGATCGATAAGCAGTATCGATATAAGTAGTAGTACAGTTAAAACCTTAACGATCCGAATAATCGATTAATCGTTTCATTAATCGATAGATTAATCGATTATCAAATTAGTCGCTTGTTGCAGCCCTACTGTAGATGTCAATCACTTGGAGGGAACACATGCACACACACACTTCATGTGTTGGCTCACTAGAGGGGCAAACTAAAGTCAACACGTTGTTTCTCAGTGTGGATTTATATATAGTTTTCACA